ATGAAGCTCTTCAGTTGCCACAAGTATGAAATAACACAATTTATCTATTGTGAGAAAACACAACAGTCTGCATTTCCTTGCTTTTGCCACATGCTAAGAAAGCACAGATGGACTGCTGCTTGTGCTTAGCTGAGCCACCGTAACTCGTCCAGACATAGTAGCTTGATCCTGGATCTGGACTCTTAGGTCTTCTGGCTACACTACAACCTTGGGCCAGGTACACGTAAAAAGTATACATAAAAGCTTGCTGATACATGCTGTGCCATTAAAATCGACTTCTATGGCCTTAAATAGATCGAATAGTGGCTCATGGCTCAGTGTGTGCAGGTGAGGATGCTGCATATAAGCAGCAAGCTTTTTCTTCTCAGCAAAGTCAGTTGGAAAGAAGCAACCTATACATTCAAGCATAATGATTCAGCAAGCTCATTTAATAACAAAATTAGTGTCACGGCAACTGGAAATCAGGTGTGGGAAGCACTCACATTACAGGCAACTTGCCAGCTAAGCTCCAAGCCTTGCAAAAGTTGAGCGCTTAGAGCAACGATCATCACTTCTCACATTAGCAAAAGTGTCCACTGTAATGACACACAAATATCTCAGTTCTAATTGATCATCAGTCTGGGGAAACTTTTTTACTAACCTGGGTTAATAATAGGGATGCTTGTGGAACAGTTCTCTTTTGCACAGGCTCCCATGACTGATGTGAGGGTTGTAGTAGGGACATCACCAATACCTGTGGAAAAAGCATGGTACTGACAAAAAGACAGATACTACATTTGATACTAAATTTTAAATCATTATTTTCTACAAGCAAATTACTGAGTTGGAAAGTTGAGAAGAGAAAACAGAACAAATTATACCACCAATTCCTCCTTCCTCAAACAGTCTGCCTCAACACCTCAAAGCAATCACAAGGAAGAAAAACACAGTTTTATATTTACTGTATATCACAGCTATTTCCATTTCATCTCCTGAAATTAATGAATCTACATCAAATGCTGCTACTTCTGGTTAGAAAAAATATATTCAAAGCAAGAAACAACTGTCAGATAGGAAAATAATGTCAGTTTTAAATCCATTAGATAAATTATTCACAAAAGCTGACAAGAAGGACACCAAGCTGATGTCAGTTATCCTGAATGTAGAATATTTAAGAGTTTTCAAGGATTATAACACAGTTTGGAACTCATTTGTAAATATGTATGGGTTTGTGTAAAACACTAATTTAACATTCCCAAAGTGGGTAAATGTGTACATCAGCTTGATTTTATCAAACCAATTTTAACTTGTGCATCTTCAACAATTTTCTGCATTTCAAATCAGAGATGCAAAACGGTTTAAGGAGAAAAAAATGAAGGCAAAATCACATAACAAAAGTAACAGTCTAAGACAACCTGTGTAACACAGAAAATGAGAGCTCTGGCTTACTTTTTCTGCTACTTTATAAAGAAAATCTTTAAAGCACTTGTCTTGGGATGCATAATGTTCCATCAATATATAGTCAGCATATTTTCTTGAAGAGTTTTTGATTAGGAATTCACATGTATAAAGCCAGCTATACCCACACCACAAAAATCTGCCAACAGAAGAAACACAAACACACAGGAACTACTACACTGGACCAGACCAGTGCTGCTGTAGTCTCGCATCTGTTCTTCTACGATGGTCGCAATTACCTTTCAAAGTGCAACTTCACATCATAAGTTCTGCCCAAAAATGAACGGTAAGTCAAATATGAATTTCTATGAAATATAAGGCAACTTAGCCCTTTTAAGATGATCAGTGGCAAAAAAGCAAGGTATATTAATGAAATCAGTCATGTTCCCCTTTTTTTTCCATACGCTATCAAAACACCTACATAAATACATCATGCCCACGAGTCTTGAATGACCTTTGCCTTGTTTGTGTGCTTTAGATCGTGAAATAACAAATTCAGGAAAAGGCTGGCAAATGCTGGCTGCACAGACTCTGGGGTGGATTCCACTAGTTGTTCTGTGCTTGTGTACAGGTCTGAGGAGCTCAGCATTTGGGAAAATCATGCCTCTAGGAATTTAATCACAAGCTATTCTTAGGCATTTCTATGCAGACAGTTACTTCTCTGCCCGTGCTCCCAGCAGGCTGGTTGGCAGCATATACAAAGACCTCAACAGACCAGACCTAGCTTTTTTCTAGCAAAACAAGTTTGTAATTCTCTATTCACTTTGGTAAAATCTCTCATTCCAGAAAGTTGAAATCCTGGCCTTTTTAAAATGGATGAAAAACCTCCCAGTGATTTTACTGAAGCCAGGATTATACACTAATGGTGATCATGACACTGAATTTAAAAGATGCTCCAGGAAAGCCCCCTATCAGTAGAAGTATAGATTCTGTAATAAATTCCTGATAGATGAAACCTAAAAAGTAATCAAATGAATACATCTACTGAACATGTTAAAATCGCATCTCTCACATAGTACACAGAAAATAGCATGAGCTGCTTCTATGGTAGAATAAGAACCAACATAATCAACTTTGAGTTGCTCTTCCAAATACTTAGGAAATACAGATTTTATATTTTTTTCTGTTAGCACAAGTTTGAAAAGAAAACATAATAAATCAAATGTGAGTGTTAGATTTTAGTATTTCAGCAGATAAGCCTAGTCTGAAACAACCCTATAAACCATCAAATCTCACCCAGAGACTTAATTGAGTTCTAAGGTATATGGAATTAGTTCTGCTCTCACACATACAAACAAAGGAATTTTATTTCCTTAGATGAAAGTTAGGTTAGGCAGACAGAAAAGATATATGCCAGAAGCAAATTTTAATATAAAAAACACTACCTGCAACAGGCGTCCTGATTTTCAACCTGTCGACCTCCATAATAAAATCGTCTTTCAGGAAGAGGAACCCAATAATGGAGAAGAGATAAACTAGGATGAGTGCTAGCACTGCAGTGAGGATAATGGAACGACCATTCCGGGTAACACTTTTTATCACATTTAGCAATGTCTCTTCTCTGTAGACCAGATCAAACAGCTGGGAAAAGCATAGAGGAGTGGAAAAATGAATAGAAATGAGGCAACATATAGATGCTACATAGAAAAACAATCTGAATTACTGAAGCATACATCTAGCCATGTTCCAAATTCTCAGCTTCATAAACACACCGGTCACATTGATTTCAGTGGGGGAGATGGGAGGAGAAAATCTAGCACAGAGCTTAAAGATAAGTCCAAAGTTGCAAAGTGTGTATGAGCCTGATCCATGTCAAAACGAGGCTAGATTAAAATTAAGAAATAGTTTCTTCTTACTATGGATCTATATCTGCAAATCAGTTGTTCATGTCATCTCCCATCTGATAAACATGCATGGGCTGCAACTCAAAAATGCGTTCATGCATGTAAGTAATTACATGTCTGTAAACTGTTTCTTTGAGGTCATGGCATCATTTAAAAGTCACTCACATGTACACAGATCAGGGCCATCTCATTTTAGGACAAAGTTAAATACATTGCAATGTTTGTAGAAAACTCGAAACTTTTATTCTTCACCATGCACTATATACTTTCTTGGTATTAAACTTTAAAGTATACATTGAGATAATACTGCTTTAAATGTCAAAGGCCTAAAATAGCAATTAAATATGATAAGAGCTTTTCAAGAAATTATAGCTTTTTTCCTCTTACAGTTCTATTGATGTTCTATAGTGCTTTCGACCTTATCTATAATGTATGTATTTCCACTTCAAAACATTCAGATTACAGATATAGTGACACATCATGATTTATCAAAATGGTCCACAGAAGAAGGTATTAGCCACAATTCACAAGGTCTGTGAAAGGATTTGTGGAAGGATTAATCTTAAAGGACGAAAGAGGGAAGACAATTATCATTCATTCCGTACAAGACAAAGCTTAAAATGAGGAACAAATCTCAGAGTTTAGAATACATCCAGTACAAAATGAACACCTGTAAGGAACCTGGGAACGTGGACAATTATAATAGTCAAGAATCATGGACATTGGTCAATAGCAGTCACTGAAAAAAGTAAGTACATAAAATGTTTCTTAAACTACTTGGCGCTTTGGAAAGTGTTTTAAGATAGAGATCACTTCACCCATTGAAGGAATACCAGATAATTTGCTGTGCATTTTTTAAGCAGGAGAGTTACATCCATTTGATAAAAGTCCTGCAGCTTCAGCCACAAAAACTTGGCTCCTTTGAAATCTGCCCAAACTTTGAACCTGACTTTAATGCCAAGATCTGGAAAATCTGATTTCAACAGGAGCTTTACCAGAGTAAGGAATGAATCCCTGAAAATTCTAGTGTGCTTAACACAAATCTGTGAAAGGCTGGGAGTTCATCACTATTCAGGAAGCTGAGAAAAATATGACAACAGGAAAGTGAACCCATGTAAATGACCACAGTTTAGTCAGTCTCCCTGCAAGTTTCACACATTCCAGTATAAAGCAAAAGGATTAGAAAACAAAAACAGTGAAACACCTTTTACTTCTATGCAGCATAAAGGGAGCAGTTAGCTGAGTTTAGCATAATTTTGTATGATTCATTTTCATTGCACCTGTATCATATTATAAAAAGGCATTCCATCTGGGTAATGGCAACAAAAGAAAATGAAGTGGGATACATTTAAAGTGATGAATCTTGCTGCGACACCATGGGCATGCCATTCCCATTTCCCAAGTAATTTCTTTAAAATTGTATTTATTTTATCAGGGCTGCAAGATGAACTGAGGAATGGGATCCTTTGGTATAGGTATGATGCACACACCAACGGACAACTCCTGTCCCAAAGAGATTATGACTGACACAAGATAGAGGACAATGAACACAGAATATATGTACGCTGGGGACGGGTGAGAATAAGGAGTGGCTGTATGATAATTGTCCAAAAAGAAAGGGGCAAACTTTCAACTCTGAACCAGACAAAGTAAGTCCTAACAGCAACAGGTTCTAATGAAAACAGCAGCAACACAACGGTATGCTAAAAATACACACAATTTGGCTTGACAGTCAGGAAGAAATTGAAGACAGCTGCATGGGTAACGGTATTTTCTATTTTTGCAAAGTTTTCCCCTCCACAGAAGCAGATACTTACCAGGAAACTGTAGAAGAATTCGTGCACACAGAGGCCCAGCATGCAGACTAAGACATATGCTACATGATAGAGAAAAGCCATGTCCATGATAACCGCTCTGTAGCCACGGGTAAAAGTTCCACGGTTCCCAACAAAGCTCACCAGAAACACTATTTTGTTACAAAGCTGTGAGGGGTAACAAAAGCTAGGTTAATTCCATCAGAAAAATCCTGTTATTTATTGTTTGCATTGCTGTAGTGTTTGAAAATAGGTCTAGATATGTTGCTTTGACTAAAGTGAGAGTGAGATGATAAAAAACCAGCAACCAGCGTACACTGGGAATGAGCCCATGAGAGTAAGTGGAAGGACATCACCCTTCTAACACTGCACTGTGCCTCATTACATCATGATTTACTCCTATAACATCAGTGAGTAGGTAGGGTGGGATTACTGCCATAAGGCATTAAAAAAAAAACAACCAGGGAGTTTTTGAGTTTAGACCTGAGACCATGTAAGAGCAGCTAGGCATGCTACTACAAAAGGAACAATAGTATCACAACAGATAGTGTGTGGGGATCTACTGTAAGAGATCTACTATTTCCTTCAAATTATGTTTTTCAATATAAAATCCCTACCAAAAAAAAAAAAAAAACCGAGGGGCATTTTTGAAGTATAGCATTTAAGCAACAGCATCAGCTTCTTCATTGCTCTTGAGCTTTGCTTGCACACAAACAGCGGTGCAGAAGTAAATACAAAAGGGGCTAACCTCATCTGTTTGATAGTCCAGGACAAGCAATGAGGACTTAACATGTTCTGTCTTTCACAAATTTGACACAGGCAAGCGCTGATAACTTGCCTTTACCTTTGACTATATATCTGGGTAGTTTGAAGTATGTGAAATTCTCACAGAGCTGGTAGCAAACAGCCCAATACTTTGTGCTAAGGTGAATTAGAGTTGTAGCAGTCAGGCAGAAATCTAAATAGATGACTTGTGAGCATGACTGTATACCTTTCCAAGCTCAGTAAATAAGCAAATTTACTCATGATTAAGTTAAAAGATCTGGCAAAGGGCTGAGAGTATTTTTAATTTAGAAAATCTTTTTCTTCTCAAAAACGTATTTAATGTAGCAGAATCATCTCACAAATTTGTGTCAATATTGCTGAGTGAACTAGTAAAGAAAATTATCCCTTTAACATAAGAAACTGTAAATTTCATTGCCCTTATTCAGCAATATTTCTTTAAATTTCACATTGTTTTTATTTTTAAAATATTTGCATATGCACAAAACCAAATTTGCTTTTTTCTTAGTTTCCTACTTTGCTGACACTGCTGTTTCACAATGACTGGAAATGATCTATTTTTTTGGCTTAACCAGCGAACAAGAAAAAGTTCTTTGCACAGCTCTAATCAAGGGCTTTTTTAATAGGAAACCCTTAATATCTCTGCTTCTGCTGAAAGAGAAATTCTGCTTGCTTTTTAAGTACTTACATTAGCAGCACCAAGAAGTATCAAGGTAGGACCGAGCCCTATAGTATATATAGACCTGAGAATAACGGACACCAAAAAGGGTCGAATACCAACAGGCTTGGAGATGAAAAACAGCATTGCTGTACAAAATGCCACTGCTATCCAAAGGAGGACTGAAAACAACGGAGAGAGCGTGCCTGTATAGAGGAGAAAGGGAGATTTCAGAAACGCATCTCTGGAGAGTCCATTTTTCACCATGAAACAGATCCAAAAGATCGTTTCCTTTGCCAATATAGCTAACAAAAAGTGTGATTCATGCACCACAACTGCTGACCACAACTTGCCCTAATTGCAGCAAGAGCTATTATTATCATAGTAGTGTTGATTTTTGCACAGGTAATAACAAGAGCAGTTAATGAAATTTCCATTAAAATCCAAGGAGTGCTCAGAGATGAAACAGTTTCCCCTTCTCTTGGAGCAAGCTACTAATCAGCTCCCTTCTGCAGGGATCATTAAGGGCTCCTCCAGTCTAATTCCATGATTGCTCAGCTACAGAAATAACGAGTCTTTTGAGCGGCGCAGCAAGTGGCACTGCACTGCAGTGTCACGTTTTGATCCCCAACAGCACCAAAGCACCCCGGGTTTAGAAAAGCATCTTTCTTCTGAAGGGCTGTGGGTGTTCAGCAGGAGCCTCCGCCTCTGCACAGGAGCAAGAC